CTATCCAATCTTCTGGCCGTTTACTCAATCTAATTTCGAATTACCCACTTCTTACAGTGAGTATGTCGCCTCGGGTCTTTGAGAAGTGTTTGTCTCCTCAAAAGACCGAGAATTTTACAATAATATGTGTTGTTTCTTTCTTCTTTTAAGTTAATATGTTTTTAGACGACTATCCATCTCTTCCGTAGTCCAGGAAATGTTTATTGAACTGTGCACAATCAGTCTAGAGGAATGTATAACTTACCATCTTCAAATTGATCAAAGCATTGAAGATCGATCAGCCGCACCGCGTGCAGTACAAAGGAAGTTATGTAGGTTAGGTGATAAATCCTATTTTTTAAATCATTTTGTAAGTATAATGAGCTGCTCAGAGAAGCTGCGCAATTGTTCGAGCATCATGGTGCAATAGTTGCTCCGCAGCAGGACTATGAGGTCTTTGTGATTGTTGCTCGCTGCACATTTCTAGAGGGGAAAGAATTTCTTGATTGGCTTCATGATAAGTTTCTTAAGGTAAGTAGTATGGCTGTTTTTCTTTTTGTCTTTCCTTCTTACATATTTTTCTACTAGTAATTTATGCAGATAGTTGGAACGAACCGTGCTGATACCCAAATGATCGAAAAGTGTCTTCATTACACTCTGACCCTATGGTTGGCACCTCATCATTATTACACTGTCGGCAAAACTCTAGTTACAGGCCTAATCTTTGGTGCAGCTGGTCCAAAGCTGATCAGACTAAGTGGGTATTGTAGCTTCCACTGAGACCATGCTTCACTACTTTGCTTACAGATTATGCCATCCACTGCAGTTCTTGCGGCACTCTATACTTAAGAGCCAGTGCTGAATCAGTAATATTACCTTTTTTAAAAAGATGTGAAGTCGGTGATTTTCTTGGACAGTCAGTTCGTTGCTTGCCCAGGTAAGATCACTTTGAGTTTTGATAGTCAAGCACGACTACCATCTGAGAAAGCCGCTCAGTTAAAATATCTCCCGCTCTGTACGTATTTGGCCATTCTTTACAAATCTTCAATGCTTGTGAACTTTAAGCCCGTAGTCTGTAAGTGAAACACTTTTAGAACTGGTCTTTTCAACTAAGTGGGAATTATAGATCCATGGTTGTTACACATACGTGCCCCAAAATCTCAAAATTTTAGATTTTGCTTAAACTTTGTGAAAGGGGTAATTTGGCATGCTGACAAATATCGTATCTATCCCTTAATAGCTTCTTATTATGGAAGAACCGTGAGTACAACGGTAAGAGCCGAAGTCGCGGATTTACGAGAAAGTTGGCATAGTGAGGTAATTTAATGTTAATCACGAAAACATAGTCAACTTGTACGCTAGGGTCTTTCTGTAGGATCATGGTAAATCAAAATCATG